ACCGTCGACCTACACCCTCCCAGCACATCGTCCGCTGTATCGTTATTGAGACGATAGTAAGAATTTTGACCCGTCAAGCAGGCGATGTTGAAGATACTGGAGATGGGGGAGACGGGGGTGGAGCAGTTGATGAAGACGGTGATGTTGCGGTCGCTGTTGGTGTAGCGGAAGAGGGAGGGGTCGAGGGAGGAGTTGGCCGAGGAGGGCTGGGGGCAGAGTTGGTTGAGGAAGGCGGGGTCGACGAGGGTGAGAACGCGGCCGGGGACGTCGAGGGAGAGGACTTGGTAGGTTTTCTTGGAGATGGATAGGGTGAGGGTGTAGCCGGGGAGGCCGGGGAGGCCGCAGGAGTCGAGGCGGAGGGAGTCGGGGAGGAGGAAGGGGTAGGAGACGGTCACGGTGGTGGAGCCGCAGCTGTAGGGTTGGGGGGCGCATTCCGAGTGCAGAGAGGAGGCGGAGGAGGAGGCGAGGGTGGGGAGGAGGAGGAGGAGGAGGAGGAGAGGGAGGAGTAGGGGGAGGTGATCATGATGGAGTAGGTGCATGTTTTTGGGAGGGAGAGATGGGTTTGTCATTTGGAAGTGTGTTAATTGAGGTGATTATGTTTGAAATTTTAGAGAGAGGAAAGATAGGATAGAGAAGGGTGAAAGGATGTTTCTTTGTAATTTGCGAGAGAGAGAGGGGAGAAAGAGAGAAAATGAGTACTTGTTGATGATTTTAGTTATAGAGGCGAGAGGGGGATACTACAGGGGACGCTCCGTAGAAATCATATAGAAGATAAATTGTAAAGACGGTTTATCATGAATCTCGATGTACATAATACTATCCGTTATTACCAGAGCTACAATGTCAGGCATTGCAAACTACTATTAGTGCAATTGAAAGTTTTGCTGCATTGATGACTGATAGTAATATATACATCGAGATTTATATTAGACCAATATCTTTACTCTCTCTCTTCCTATATGTTTTTTCATAGAGGACTTTCCATAGGGCTTAGAGAAGAGGGAGGGGATGTGGGTGCTTCTTTTAAACTAGAACATAGCCGAGGGGGATCTTTGTCTGTACACTGAGAAAGACTCAGATGAGATGATGGTGGTTGAATGTATATTGATGGTGGTTATGAGTACCTAACCGGTAGTTGGATGAAGAATATTTATCGTTTAGTCGAATGAAGAACATTGTTAATGCCACGTGTGCTAAAACAAGTCGTAGGGTCTTTTTGCACATACGCAGCTCAAATCTGTGTTTCTTTCATGTATTATCTATATATTTTGCATGCTAAACAAATTCATGAACCTTAATTCTACGAATGCGTAAATAGCAAACCTTTTAACTTTCTTTCCGTTGCAACTTGTGACATATAATATTAAACATGTAAAAACCAAGAGATTAAAGTTAGGATTGAAATTGTTCGGAGAGCATTAATGATACGCGCATAGCGTGTTAATTAGTCAAAGGTTTGCTTCGTTATTGTTAGAAACTTCGGATGCGTTGAATTAGTAAGAGGCGAGCCGGTGGCATTTGGTCAAAAGTGGGAAGAGAAATGTTGAACGAGGACTAATTAAGCAAGGTGATGGCGAGCTATATATATATATATATATATACCGTCATCAGTTGAAGAATTAAAAAACACAAGGGGTCATAATTCTAGGCTTGATTGGTCATTCGATTTTGACTAGGTTGCTTGGATCAACACCCACCATTTTTGTTCTCATTTTATTAATTTCTACTTATTTGATTATTTTATGAAAGGTTAATTTTAAGAGAATTAATTTGTAGAAAATAAACCAACACCACAACAAAAGTTGTAGCCTTTCGATTTTTTCCCCCGCCTCGTTATACATGCATGTGTTAGGAGGGGAGACACATATTTGTCATCCATCCTAATATTACCACACCCAAGCTAGCTTAATTACAAAGTTGTTTGGCTATAATCCACTGACAAATATGGCTGACCATTATGCACTTGAATCCCACGACTTACCATTTAAACATATCAATATGTGCTTACACAATCAATATGGGAGTAATGGGACTACTGATCTTTTTCAATTTTATTTTATTGTACGTATATCTAATAATACAAATATGTATCAGTGTTTGCATTACTTGTGTCGCTGCCATCAAATCTTTTGCAATTAAAATAATATTTATATATGTGTCGTAGAATAAGTGTGGGTACATATAATTTTTATTGTAGTGCAAACAATATTAAACTCACTTTACCCTTCCATGCTATGACCTCTAAACTCTAAAGGAATGAGAATTTAAAAGACGTACTTGTGAACGACTCAACAAAGAGTATGTTTGGCAATTGGTCAAAGGGATTTATAAGTCACTGAGACATATTTGGCATGTACACAGCCTATTTTAACTTATGTAACATGCTAATTAAAGTAATACTCTGAGATGCTAGGTGTCAAAATTTTGGAGCATTATACTCATGGCTGCTTTTCATAGAGTTGAATATTAATCTTCTCTACAATTGATTCTTTTCCACACTTTAAGCCTTTTAATTTATTCTACCTAGTTACTCCTTTCTTTTTAATTAAAAAACGCAGGAATTAAAGCACTCTACCATTAATTTCTTTGCAAATAAACCTTTTGCTAACTGCGCATCGAGTCAATTATCGTCTCCTTCAAATTCTTGATCGTATTCCCCCACGTTCTTTTCATTTATTTTTGCATTGATTATCATAATTTATGTACTCTGGCCATAATTAATATCACTATGAATAATTAATCACCAATCACAGCCTTTGTTACTTCAGACTTCCCCACAAATCCTTTACAAACGTCTCCAGCTCCTTACATTCGCAGTCGCATCAAACTAAAAAATATTAATGCTCAACTCGCAACGGCTTACGAGGCATTATATAATATATATATATATATATATATTATATATATATAGAGCAAAATGGTATACTTGGTACCAAGGATCCTGGTATGATGTAAGACACTTTGTCTACATTCACACCTTGAAGATGGGCATCACAACTACAAGGTGTGATGTAGGACAAGATGTGTCCACATCTACTTTCAAGATCTTGCCAAGTATCCATCCTCATATATAGATATATATATATATATAATAATATTAATATATATATATATAGAATAGGAAAATGATTTAGACCCCAAAATATGGACAAGAGAGGAGAAGGTGAGGTGTCCCTCCTATTGCATAATGAGTTGCATGAGTTTAGCATGGCAACTCATTATGCAATAGGAGAGCGGAACATCACCTATCACCTCTCGTTGGTCCCTATTGGTTGGTCCGCGTTAGCAGCATTCATTATATTATATATATATATATATATTATATATATATATATATAATTTATATATATATATATATTATAAGAGAGACGAGAGAGAGAGGCAGAGAGAGAATGGGTATGTTTGGTACCAAGTATAACTTAGTATGCCTGGTAGTGAGATGTCATAATCCCTTACTCATTAAATAGGACCATTTCAATGGGTGATGGGAGTGCATAGGATATGTAACGCTTTTTTGAAGGAGTGATG